AATCTATTTCTTCTTCACAAACACCGAAGATACCTGCTATTCTTCATCATACACACGCACACATACACAAGCACAGATGCACACAGTTACTCACAGACACACACATACACACACATACTCCTAACCTGAACCTATGTCCTGAAATGAACATTCTCTCTTCACTCATCCCATTCTCCCCTCATCCCCCATTTTTGAAATATACATTCTCTTCATCTAAACCTAACAGAATTCTTATCTGTTCAAGTATTACCTCCACTGTGAGATTTTTATTGAATTTTCCCTCCTCCTCTTGTTGTTAGCCTTTCTCTCTCTTCAAATTACCTTGTATTTAACCCTGGTGATTTTTATTTCTGTGACTCTTCTGTTTGGCATTTTACAAGCAGGCCCAAATCTACATTTCCAGCCTAACTGCACATGATTTCCATATACTCACAGGGCAGTTCTGCCAGATTTGTCCTTCTTGTCATTCCTCACATGCACTGCCTAACCCCCTACTTGTATATGCCTTCCCTCCTTACCTAAATCATAGATTCCTTAATTTCTTTCAAGTCTCAGTTCAAAGGCCATCATCTCCATGAAACTGTCCTTATCCTCACATCCTCCAGCACCAAGTACCACTAAAATCTCCTCACACACATATGGGGCAGCTAGGTGATGCAGTAAATAGGGTCCTGGGCCTGAAGTGAGCAAAACTCATCTTCCTGAGTTCAAATCTGGCCTCAGATACTTGCTAGCTGTATGACCCTGGGCAAGTCACTTAACCATGTTTGCCTCAGTTTTCTCATCTGTAAGGTGAGCTGGAAAAGGAAATAGCAAACCACTCCAGTATCTACCAAGAAAATCCTGCATGGGGTCATAAATAGTCAGACACCACTGAACAAAAGATTTTTTGCATAAATCGATCAGGAAGAATTTATACCTATTAAGACTAGAGACTGATTTTGTTTTTTGTTTTGATATTCTCAGTGCCTAGAACACTTCATGATATATAGAAAGTGACTTAAATATCTGTTGAACTGAATTTCACACAACCAATGTATGACTTTCTTGAGATTCACATTCCGTGTTTGTATTTTGTATAAGATGTTATGTCTCAATTGTTTCAAAGTCCCTAGTCTGGCTAAGCCCCTGGTCTGATTTATTCTCATGAAAACCAGCCAGTATACAATTTATTGTTGTTGTCCTATTTGAGGTTTTCTTGGCAGAGACACTCAAGTGGTTTGCCATTTCCTTTTCCAGCTCACCTTACAGATAAGGAAACTAAGTCAAATGTGGTTAAGTGATTTGTCCAGGCTTACACAGCCAGTGTCTGAGGCCACATTTGAACTCACAAAGATGAGTCTTCTTGACTCCAGGCCCAGCATTCTACCCACTCTGCCACCTGGTACTAACCAACTGCACAAATCAGCATAATAATGTTGACTTACAGATTGCTTATGATTTCACCTAATTATTCAATTTTACTTCATTTTTTAAAAATCAAAGTGGGGCAGTAAATGATAAAAATAAAGATTACAATGATAATAATAATAATTCTAATAATAAAAAATGTCTGCTTTCTCTGAACATCCATCTCATTCACTCAAGTATTATGCCTATGTCACCTGCTATGTTTACTCTGAGAAAAAGATTAGGTTCTCTGGGATTCAATAGAACATTGGAAATATGATTTTTAAAACAATAGTCTTTGATTCAAGTACAACTCTACTGCAAAATTGTTAACTCCTAGCACCAGTAACCTACGACTTATGCAGTTATATTTGTTATGGGTGTTATGTATGTTAAATTCAAGATACATTTAAGTCTGGTCCAGTTTCCCTCCTTTTCTATACAAATGACATCCATTTTAGTAGTTTAGCGATACCACTATTGAATGTAGAAATTAACAAATAAGAGAAAACTTTAGAGCCAGCTTTGCTACAACGGAAGATGCTTCAATTAGCACATCTTAAAACAGTGAACAATAGTTTGATTCAAGTGTTACGAAAGTGGGAATCTAACTCCATTCATTTCTACTCTAATATAATCAGAGAAGAATAATGCAGAAAACAGATTGTTCTCCGTTCCTGTTTTAACTAGACAATATTATTTTTAGATTCCTGATTTTAATCCTTCAATTTTCTCCTACTCCTCCCATTTACAGATTTTTCTCACGTACCCACCCCAACCTACCCCAGGCTTCTTTTCCACTTGAGTAGGAGTCTTATCGCAACAAAAGCAACATCCAAAAAATAAAAGTCTTTGAGAGAAATATAAAGTGAAAGTGCTGAAAGTGAAACCTAGAAATTGGAGAAGATTTGGGGTCACCTCTATCCTCATCAACTCTGGGACTTCTATTTTCATAGAAATCCATGACATCACTATTCTCAAATCCTTTTTGAAATGTAATCTCTCATCTCTCATCCTTATCTCTCTCACATGTGATTGACTAAATTGTGGCTCAGCTCTGGTTTAAAAAAATAACGGGAACCAACAATAACAATAATAACAATAAACCACTACAGCATTATATGGCAATAACAGAATGGAATGTTACTGGATTTCATTTTTAATACTAAAATAACACTACCCGTGATGACATATTTTTACAAAGTTCTATAATGAAATAATTGTCATCCTTTTAAATACATATTTCTTCGAAAGAAAAATTTTCTGGGATTCAGAAATATTTCCAGTGCAGTGCAGAAAAGTGGGGAACCAGAAGAAATAGATAAACATAACTACATGGGTACATAGGCTAATTGGTTAAGAATTCCAGATGCCATCTCGTTTAATGTCTTCATTTTATAGATACGAAAACTGAAGTCCAGAGATGTGAGACAAAGGTCAAATGGGAATATTCTCATAAATTGTTAGAAATTGCCTAATTATTCACATAGGAAAAAAACATTTATTTCCCCCCAGTGACCAACAATTCGCTAAGGATTCAGTTTACAAATCATAAGAGTACAGATTCCTAGCTACAATAAATCTTAAAGAAGTCTTCTAATTCAACCCTGCCACTTTTACTGATGAGGAAATTGAGGTCTAAAGAGGTTGTGACCAGTCTAAGTTGATACAGGTAATAAGTGACAAGCTAAGATTTGAACCCAGGTCCTCTGACTCTAAATGCAGCGATATGCTATGGAACAATAACATTACTCTCTAGCTCTGGAATGTTTAGTATTCTAGATCATAGTGCACATTATTTTAGTTCAAAATGTTAGATGTGCAACTGATAATGAACACTATATGGATGCTAGATATAGCATATAAAATATACAGAAGACTATAATTGGAAATCTATTTTATTATGTACAAGTGATAAACTCCATAAGCAATATATCTTCACTATAGCCCAATTTCTTTCTCCCCTCTCCTGCCTCTGTGCATTTGCAAAGACTATCAATCCTCCCTTGGCTGGAATAGACTCTCTGCAACTCCTAAAATTCATTCCTTTCAAATCCAGGTCAGGTGCCAACTCCTTAATGACACCTTTCCCTGATCTGTCTGGCTAGAAATGATTCCTCCCCTATTTTTTTAAATACTTAAAGATTTTATTGGATCTCTCCTGTGAATTTCAATATAATTTGAGTTGAATTTTGGTCATTTATGTTTGATTATTTGTCTTTTCTTCATGAGATTTCAAACACTGTGTGGTGAGGAACTCTACTGTTTTCACTGTTATATCACTAGTGCCTAGCATACAGTAAAAATTTAATAAATTCTTGACGAATCCAATGTTCACAAACACTGCAGAATTTAATCTAACAATTCCTGAGCTTCTTAGGTCAGTTTGGAAAGAAAAAACATGCTCCCATATTAAAAAATAATAATATTAGCATTAATTGATAAATGACTTAATATGGTTTTTTAAATGGCAATATCTAATTTGTTAAACTCCATATATAGAAGCAAGAAATTTGAAATAAAATTAGCAACATGATGTTAACACATGCATTTTAAGAGAAAGTATGGTTCAATGAAAGGTGTATTGCAATTGAAGTCAAGAAGACCTAGGTTCAAATACAGGTTTTGCCACTTATTACCTATGTGCATTTTAGCAAAGTCACTTAACCTTCTTTAAACCTCATTATGCTTAACTATATAATGAGGAGGTGGGACTAGATGGTCTCTAATGTTACTTCACGCTCTAAATTTAGGCTGCTCAATAGCACAGGGGATAGATTCCTGGATCTTGGGTCAAGAAGACCTATTTCAAACCTGGTTTGAGACGTTTACTAGCTAGCTATGTGACTCTAAGCAAGTTGCAACCTCTGCTTCAGTTTCCACATCTATAAAATGGAGATGACAATAGCAACTACTTCCCAGGGTTATTGTGAGGATAAAATGAGATATTTATTAAAAAGGCCTTGAAAATCCAAAAGGCCTGTGTAAATGCTAGCTATTATCTATAATTTGGAGATTAAATCATTCTATAATATTTGAAAATTGAACAGATTTCATAAGTGATGAAAATATATTTTCTAACATATAGTAATTGAAACAGTAACAACAAGGAAACGGTCCAAGGAAACACAATGCTTTAAGTATGGCTTAAACACAAAGTGAGCTGCCCCAACGACAGTAAGTGTTAGGGTTTTATTGCTATGATTTGATGATATGCTCTACTGTTCATTTGGGACCACCCAACATCACTTTCCTAAGCCTGTTTCATATCTTGTTTTTCATGGTCACTGAACATTTCCTTTGAATGTACTGCTGTTTGCCTGAGATATGGCATCATGCTATTTCTTAAAGCTCCCAATGTTTGGAAATAGGCAGAAGGGAATCATATGTTCTATAATAAAAATAAGTGCTGGGTATCTCTATACTGCTAAGTCACATGTGATAACCTATTTTGTAGCTATAACATACATATATACGTATTATACAAAAGTGACCTTGAATATAACCTTCTATATGTATGTTTATATAGATCCACACAATAGAATATCACATTAACAAAGGAAGACACAAAAAGCATAGAGTGTCTTGGCCATTAAGGAATATTTCCTTACCAGTCAAATTCTTCAGACCAAGTTCCTGAAGTCCAAAATTCCCATCTTTCCTGTAGTTTAAAAAGATTGCCAGGGCATATCGATCCTCATAAAGTTTTGTTCCACGTATGATACGCAAATTCTCCAGAGGCAGGTAACGAAACTGATTAAGAGCCACCAAGACATACCCAGTGACTTCCCGAATGGACTGAAAAAAAATTTAAAAAAAGTCTATGTTAAGAAATAAAACAGTCTAAGCATCAGCTTTTCTGCGATCTTCAAATCAATCTTCTCAAAAAAGGCATTTTATTTTATTTGTTCATTGTTCACCTTTCAACTTAACATGCACACATTTAAAAGTTTTCTGTTAGTGGCTTGAGGAGCCAAGAAAATTAAACAAAAAATTAAACAAAAAAATTTTCATCTAGCATATTGATTGAGTTCTGGAAAAAAAAGTCACAAAAATGACTAGGCACGAACAATCTCAAAGCTTCTTTTCATTTATAAAACTCCACAGTCCTTTGTGTGTGCAAGTACAACAATGGATTGGGAGGGGGGGCGATAAAATACCCACATTTGAAAATAGTTTCTAATTAAAGGAATCAAGGCCATGTTCACTGACAGACTGCACCAAAGTAAACACATATGGGAATGGTGTGATAATTGGAAAGTGTATATTGAAATCAAATTATTTTATACATATATATGTATATATATATATATATATATATATATACACACACATATCACAAATAAAAACAAGCTACACTACTTGTAGAATTTAGGACAGATTGAAAAGTGTTTTTGTGTTTAATGCTTCATTTATAAAGCAACATTTGCCCCATTTCTACATCCATCACTTCTCTAGAGAACATATGATTAACAAAATGCATAAAGATTGTGATGCTTGCTACCAAAAAAAAAAATCTAGTTAAAAACAATTTTTGTGTAGATTAAGTATTCTTAAAAACTAGCCTCCTATAATTTATGGGAATTGTCAACAGATAAATTCTAGCGGTCATTTTGAGGTTTGTGGGGCATCTGAATTGAACATGATACAAGAAAAAAAAGTTCCTGTACATTTATTTTTCTTAATGTAATTCATAATACCTATCATACAAGTTACTCTGAAGAGTACAGACTTTGGGGGGAAAAAGTGAACAATGTAAACCTTACATTAAATTGAAATAATTAAGTCTGCTATTTACACAATGTTTTTAGAGAGTACAGTTAAGGTACTGTGGTAGTTGCCTACCTAAATTAATAGGCTTGCCAGAAGGTGAGTCTCTGTGCCTTTGATTATCTATAATTCCCTCCTTAGAGAATATGGACATGCCTAATGTCATCTTCTTAAAAGAATAAAGACATCCTCTGGTTTTCAGAAACTAAGGCTACCCCAAAATGAAATGGCTGATTTGGAACTACTGTGTTGTATTTCCCATACTGGGGCTGCCCCGAGATGCTAGACTCTGGATGCTGAACTCTTGTTGGAAGTCTCACTTCTCTGTGTTGGCTTCCAAAGCAAAGACAACAGACTACTTTCCCTCCCCTTTATATACCTGTTCTTGGAACCTTCCTCACAGAATTTAGCAGTGAGAGGAGGGACTTCTTCCTCTGCATCCTGTATTACCCCTCATCCCCCAGTCATTGACTTTCATCAAAAGCACTTAATGAGCTACAAGCACTTGACTGGGCAGCCTGGTAAAGGAGTTCCCAGATTTCAAATTCCTCTCTTCCTCCACCTTTCTCTTTCTGAACAAGTCAGAGACTGGAGAAATATGTGTAGGGTTTCCTAGCCTGAGACATGTCTGCAGAATGTGCATCTATTGCTTATTTAGATAGTTCAGATACATTGGGAAGAGGGTCGCTCGTCCACTGTCCCAAAGTATGTTTGCCCTCTGAGAGGAGCCTAAGCTACAGGGAAGCAATTACATTTCTGAGAGGGAAAGTGTAGGATTCTGTGGTAAAGAGGCATTTCACTAAAATGTTATAGTGATTTCCCATTTGCAACCCAAAGTTTATTTCTCTTTCAAGGGGTTATGAGCTACTGAGTGCTTTATATGTTTTCTGTATCATGGGCTCACAAGTACCTATGAAACTTTTAACCTTTCTGTATTTTCAATAAAATAAATGTTGTCCTTTCCTTGTTATGCATTTATTACTGTAAATGCTTAGACAAGACCTATAGACAACCCTACTTGTATTTATGAAATCTTAGTTGTAGTTATCTTTGAACATAAAAGATAACATTTCCTCATATTAAATAGTACTTTAAGGTTTATAAAGTTTTTTCCTCATAAGTCTGTGCAAGTGTTATTGCCCCCATTTTATAGCTGAGAAAACCAAGGCCAAGAGAGTTTGAATGACTTTTGCAGGGTCATGCAGCAAGAAAATAGTAGATCCAGAACTTCAGTTCATTTTATATGCCATGAACTATGCTAGGTGTCAAAGAGAAAAAGGAAATAATTCCTACCTACAAGAACTCATATTCCTGACTCAGAGCACTATTCTTTCCATCTTATCAACCATCATATAAGAAACAATTAAGTGCCCACTGATTCATTTATTCATTTAGTAAATATATATTTTATCCCTGCAGATGAATAAAAACATGGAATAAAGCTTAATGTTTAATAGGACAGATAAGATACCACAAATTTTCATATCACAAAGTAGATTTATTTTTTTGGATGGAGTTGGGGAAATTTTCTAGACCTGTGATTCCTGGAATGGAGAGAATTCCCATTGTAAAAACTCCCTCCATTAATGAAGATTCATAACTTGTCTGTACCTATCAATATTAGAAAGTTGTCTGAAACAAAGAAGTCAAGACACTTGTCCATGGTACTGTAATTGAGTATGTGTCCAAATTATGGCTTTTTAAAAATATTAAAATATTACATAATATTAAATAAATAAAATATTTAAATATTAAGATTAAAATGTTATCTTCAGGAAGTCAATATATACAAGTAGGCAAAAAAAAAGAGTCAATGCAGAAGGAGACAGAAGATTCAAGAAGGCAATGAAGCTAACTAGACACAGGGCAGTGGTTAGCTCTGGAAAAGAAAAAAATTTCTTTATCTGAGATAGTAGGGTAGATTTGGAAAAAATACAGAGACATTTTGAGGTAGAGCAAAAGGAAGCTAAGGGAGGTCAAAGTAGATGGCTGATAGAGTCTCAATAAAGTCATAAAATAATAGCTAATAATAGCAAACATTTATACTATAGATCAGGTACTGTGCTAAGAGTTTTATAATCATTATCTCATTTGACCCTCACAACTGTGGAAGGTAGGTGTATTATTATTTCTACTTTACAGATGAGGAAAGTGAGGTAAAAAGGGTTTAATTGATTTGCCTAGGGCAGGGGTGGGGAACCTGTGGCGTCAAGGCCACATGTGGCCACTGAGGCCATAGGTTCCCCGCCCCTGGCCTAGGGTCACATAAATACTAAATGTTAGAGGTTAGATTTGAACTCATGTCTTCCTGACTCCAGGCCCAATGCTCTATCTACCAAGCCACCTAACTGCCCAGATAAAGCCAATTGCTGCAAAAAAAATAAATAAATAAATAAATAAATAAAATAAAATAAGACCAGGAAAACATTCTAGAAACAATCACTGTAGAAAGATCCATATGAGACAGTGAGAGGCAAAGCAAAGGGCTGCCAGGTAGGATTCAGACACTCACTGTTATAGAGTCTACCAACTTGGTTTCTTGACCATTCCCCACACTTGGCAACTGCAGGACAGAAAGAGGAATGTGAGCAATACAGTTTTTAATATCCTCCTCACCCTCCGGCCTCCAACTGAGACACTGGCAAACTAGAAGGATAAGATCATGAGATAATCTAGGCTTTGTGGAGCACATTATTGGAATGCTTCATTTTGGAATCCAAGATTGAATAAGAGAGGCAAGTAAGGTCAGAAGTTGGGCTGTAGACTTAGGGAACAGGAAGGAACTGGAGAGGGATAGAAGAAAGTTATTGAGAGTACTGAGTTAAAGATTATCAGAGAAATATGAGAAGATTTTTATAAAATGATTCAGAATGAAATGAGCAAATTAAAAGAAAAAAATCTACATACACATTGACTTCAACAATGTAAATGAAAAGATCACTGGTGGGTAGCTAAACTCAGTGAAACTAAAAATTCAATAATGATCCCAGAGAACAGACAATGAACCATACCTCTCTCCTCTCAAGAGTGGAGGGGAGATTTAATGAATCAATTAAAAAAATAATTATCAGATAGAGTAACTATATCATGTATTTTTGCTTAATTATTTTTCTTTGTTATGAGGGAGGGTTCAATTTGGCAGGGGACGAACATACTTCCAGAAATGACTTATAGATATAAAATGAAAAAAATTTTTTAAATATAAATTATTTTTAAAATAAAAATTACAGAGTAAGAGAAGTAGAAGGATGGCAGGTTATGATGAAATGGAAAATTCTGGAGTTTGAAATTTTGGAGTTCAAAGGGTTTTCAATTGGCTAAGTGATGACTAGTTCTAAGGGGGCTGCTTATCATCATACTTGTAAACTGCTCTGGGATGATTGTCTTTGGTACATTTAGGGTTGCATATATATATATATATATGTATATATCTACATCTCTTTATCTATCTATAGGTGTGTGTAGGTATTATGTATGAATGCATGTAAATATGTGCACCTTTTAAATTCCTAGTGGGAGAGGGATATGTCTTTTGGAATTCTGGCTAAGCTACACATAGATTAAGAAAGCACAATCACATATAAATTATTTAATGAATTATTTTATGGTGATAATGGATTAAATTCCCTTCAACCTCTTATCCTTCACCTTCCCAATATGGAGAAGTGAAAGGGAGATTTCTGTCCCTCTTCCAGGGCTATTGTTCAAAGGAGTCCTTGGGCCTGAATGATTTGCAAAGCACTATGGAAGTGAAGGAAGGGGGAAGTCATGCTTTTAAGTGTGAGACAAACCTGAAACTCACCCACAATGGATTAAAGGCTGCCTTTAGCCGCCACCACCACCCCTAATTCTGAGAGGCAGTTTGGAATAGTAGACATGATCTCACAGGCAGAAAAGCATGAGTTTAAGTATTACCTCTGTCACATACTGGCAGTAACAACCTCTCAATACTCCAGGCAAGTCTCTAGGACTCTAAGATATGGAGAAGGTATCTGTCGGCATTGTTAGAAAGAATTCCTGACTGAATA